CAAATATTGCTTGTTAGTTTGGTTTTTCTGAACTTCCCTCCAATATCCCTATAAATTGCTTATTGGTTGTAAAGAGCTACACACAATTAATATGGATAGCCTGTATCAAAGTTTAAACCACCAATTACTTGTTCTATGTGCATTTAGCTAAAGTGACAAGTAAACTGGATCAGAGGCAGAACAATTACCTTCCAGATACCATGTTGCACTAGGGCAGATAATTGATGTGTTTCTGTTTTTCAGGAACGCAATCAATCAAAGTATTCCACCTGTTAATCATGATGATATGGAGCTGGACGGACCACTTGATAACACGTTTCAAAGACCATTGTTCCCTGAAGCTCTGCACGACCCTTTTGCACTAATGGATCCCAATTTCCAGCAAATGTTTTTTGATAGTGTTGGTTCTGCTGGTACTCCCAATCGTGATGCACAAGGTCCGCACCCTAGAGAGATATGTAATGAAGTTAATGACAACAACATTCACATGGGTCCTTCTGGTCAGGCTTCTGTTGTTGAGAATGTCACTGGACATGGGTCTTCTTATGGACCAGAAGTTCGTGAAACTATCATAATAGATGACGACGAGGAGGAGTTGTCATCTGGGCTGTCTTCTCAGCATGCTAGTATCCGTAGCAATGCGTCACAGCCAAACCCTCTGCCAACTGCTCCTCCACTGGTTCATGTCACAGACAATGACATAGAAGAGGAAATGATTCGGGCTGCAATTGAAGCTTCAAAAAGAGAGGCTGAAGAACTGGCAAATGTAAGCTCTCTCTCTCTCTCTCTCTCTCCACAGGGATAGGTTAGAACGAGCTTGTCGAGTCTTGCTTTACCTAAATTTTAAATAAATATCAGACAGCAGAGCAAGAACGGACTCAACATATGGGTGGAATAAACTTGGAAGATCGTTTATCTGATGAAGACATGGAAAGTGCAGCTGGAACAGTGAGAAGGTGAATATTATTTTGTACCCTCTTGCTCTTCATCCTCAGGCTACCTTACTGCGGTAGGCTAATAGCAATGCATTTATTTTGCGTTTTCTTCCTATTTGGAGGCAAGGATTAGGTACAGGGAGGAGTGGAACAACTATGCAACCAGCAGATGAAGAGAGCTCAGATGATGAGATCGAGGATGTTGAAGAACAGCCATTAGTTAGACGTCGTTCTAGGCGCATCCCTTCTGGAGACACAGAGTCAACAGAACCTGTTCTCCCAGGTGATAGTCCTCCCTCAAGTTCGCAGCCTCAAAACCTTGATCATCAGTATAACAGAACTGATTTCCCATCAGAGGTATTGTAGCCTTTGATCTGTACCTTAATATTAAGCAGTTAACGGTATTACTTCAGCCTCATTGCTCACACAATTCTTCTTCTGGAAAAGTGGGGTGGCATTTCTTCTGAGGAACATGATGAAGCTGTTATGCTTGAGGCTGCAATGTTTGGTGGAATTCCTGAAGCACCAACATATCCATTATCCGTTCCATCTCATGCGAGCTCGAGTCATTATCCCCAAGTAGTGCACTCTCCACCACCAGAACTGACTGAACAACGGTTATTACGTGAGCAGCAGGTTTGTACTTGAAGCTTTATGCATTGTTGCTAAATGCAAAAGATATTGGATTTTAACTTCCAGAATGTTATATTACAGGATGATGAGTACCTTGCATCACTCCAAGCTGATCAAGAAAAGGAGATGAAGACTCTACAAGAAGCTGAGCTCCGACTGCTGGAAGAAGCTGCCGCAAGAGAAGCTGCTCTTGAGAAACAAAAGCAAGAGGAGGAGGAACGGCGTAAAATGCAGCTTGAGAAAGAGGTACCTTTCTGTTGCAGATAATTCAAAATACAATTGGATGATAATTAAGAGTATTTTCCAGTATGTGAGTAGTAGATAACTAGATCACTGCTGTGATCATACGAAACTTATTTTTCTTAGAAAAAACTATAAGGCTTTAGTTTATGTTATGTTGCAGACTTACAGTGGTCTTATTATAGGTTTGGTTAACTATAGATATGATGTGGCAATATTATCTTACTTTCAAGAAAACTTTGGGCATGTTTGGTTGATAGCTGAATCTTGCTAGACTTTTTGTGCTGACCTGTGGCAAGCCACAAAAGGCATGGAGAGAATTGGTCGCCACAACCATGGCAAGATTTGGCAAAACGGCTCTATGATAGCTGGGGCTGGCTGCTAAGAAAGTGTGGCATGCCACAGCTGTGACAGTGAAACAAACATTAGCCACAAACAGCTGACACACCCTTGGCAAAGTTTGTCAAACTGTAGCTATATGAACTAAACATATCCAATAGGATAACTAAGCTCTTTGCTTTTGTTGTTCCGTTGAGACTTGCTTGATATTTATAATTATTTATCATAAGTTCATTACCTGGCATTGTTGGGGATCTGCCAGTTATGCTGTTTCTGATGTTTTATGTAAACAGGAGCTTGAGTCCAATCTTGCCGCCAAAGAAGCATCATTGCCATTGGAGCCACCTTCAGACAAGGAAGGTGTTATAACACTTGTAGTTCGCATGCCTGACGGTAGTCGACAGGGGCGTCGCTTTTTAAAATCTGATAAATTCAAGGTAAGCTGCTTTTGAACTTAATAAAAAAACTGCTTTTGACCTGCCAGATTCCAGAAAAGAAGGGTTCATTTATACTTGCCTCTTGTCACTAATACATGCTTCTGACATGCTGGTTTGCTTGCAGTCCCTTTTTGATTTCTTAGACGTTGGCAGGACTTGCAAGCCAGAAACCTACAGACTGGTAATTCTCTAGTGTTATATTTTTCTTATTTTATAATATTTCATATGCATACTCCCATGTAGAGTTAACTGTCTTAATAAAAATGAGTGCAACCTAGTATTCTTCCTTATGGACTGGTATGTCAGGCACTAGCAGTCACGTGCATGATAATATATAATTTTCTGAGCTACCCAAACCAATACTGGGTTCGGCCCTGTCTTTTTGCTGAGCTTGTTGTGTTGTCGGCAAGAATGGGCTGGGCCCTATGTTCCGGTTTTCGCCTGGTTGTCTGCAGTTAACGCAACAACCTTTTTCCTAATTAATGGAATAGGCAAAGCTTTTGCCTCGTTTCAAATAAAATAAAATAATGGATTCATCTGATCCCAAGAGCAGATTAGTTTTGCTTGCTGTGTGCTTTGTTGAATTTTCTCAATCCAGCGTCTGCGTAGCTTAGCATCCTGTTTTCTTGAGGTAACCTGCTAGTATTCCTTGACCTATGCAAGAAGGTAATTTTATGTAAGTTTCTGTAGCATTTGGATTACTATAATTATGCATGAATCATGTGGCTCTCTAGGGAGAAGCATTTACAGATTACCAAATTCATTCTTGAGCTTTGGGATGACTTTGGTGTCTTTGCGTTCCTACAATTAACACATTCTATGGATCACTACAAAATGGGATATTCTTAGTTCTCATAATGAACATTTCAAGTTACATGGTGTGGCAGACTAGCAGGACTATGCAAATTTTGCGCTCATTGAGAAATTTTAGAAGCAAGAGAAAGGATTGACAGTGATTGTAAGAGGATGTATATGTGCCCTGCCAACAAGTTTTATGCTTCCATAACTTCATGCTCACTGTTGAGTACATTATACATCAAGCTCCGGTCATATTAGCTAACACCGGATAGTGCTATTTGCTGCTCTGGCTGTTATGTGCTGTCAGGGGGAGATCATTCTTTCTGCAGTGCAGACTGCAGACTGGAGAATTGCTTCTCTGGCACTGTTCGTGTTCGTGCAGTGTCTCTAATTTCCTTTTTGAGGACAGTCCACGACAGATGTTTGATCCAAGCAATGTTGAAAGTTATATTGTGCTTTTTCTGCCAGTTGATTGTAGTATCAGTAGTGCATATTTCATCCATTGAAATATTGTAGTTGACCGCACTGAGCAGCATTTGGGAAACCATTTGGACCCGGTGTTACTATGATTTCCCCCCTATTCCTTTGCATTTTATAAGTTCATCTGTTCCATAGACCATATATCTCCGTCTTTTTACTCTTGATACATTCAAGTATATCTAGTGGGAATAACACAAAGAATATAGGTACTCCCTCTGTCTCAAAATGCATGAAGTTTTTGAAACGTCTTACATTTAAAACGCCTTACATTTTGAGACAGAGGGAGTAGCTTGCAAGTTGCAACGAGTAGTTATCATCAGCTTTTCATACACACAAAGAAAGTTAAAATAACTGTTCAAATGTAACTTGAAGTGTGAAAATATTACAACCACTAATTTGTTTTCATTTGTATTTTAGCATTAAACTGCTTGACTCTTACTGCCATCCGGTCTCGTATTTACCATTGTGTGTCTTGCAGGTAAGGACATACCCCAGGCGTGCTTTTACCACTGCTGACGGCGACCAATCGTTTACTGATCTCGGGTTAACAAGCAAGCAGGAAGCCTTATTTATAGAGCAGATTACTGATTAGGGGAAAAAGATTGAGCCTCACCTAGGGATACCACCATCTGAGACTGAGTTGGGGTTTTACATGTCTATACTTGCATATGGCTTTTACTAGGGAATCTAAAATTGGTCTGTGTCGAAGAGTTCAAACTGTGTTCTTTTGTGATGTGGAACGGTTCGCATCACTTTAGTCTTATGTAGGGGGTATAAAACAGTGATCAGCAACGGATCCAGGATATTTGGTTATGAATGCGCGCTAGCGCAGCGATAATCATTGTTCGTTTCAGAGAGAGAAAGATTCCTTGGTTTCATTGTGGGTTCATTATATGTTTGGGTCTGGAAGGACCTTCGGTGCAAATTGGTTTCATTACTATTGTTATTAATCTGACCTTCAACAGAGGCCAACAGACACGAGAGCCTGTAATGATCACAGGGGATCGATCTAGACGGACAGGACAGCTACTAGGCACTGCTACTACTACTCAAGATGGTTGCTCCGACCATCGATCTCTTATTCATCGTCGTCTTCTTCAGTTCCTCCTCTTCTTGCATGGAGCCAGGCAGCGAGCGATCACTCTGCAGCGGCAGCAGTCAAAGGGAAACAACCGGGAGCCCGTCAGTTCAGCTAGATAGATATTCAGGCAAAGAGAGAGCAGCACATGAATCAATCAGCATGGAGTGTTTATAATGATCTTACGGCAGGAGACGCGCGGGAGGCCGCACTTGGCGGGGAGGCTGTTGATGATGTCGATGGCGCCGCAGGCGCAGTCGCGGGACACGGAGCCCAGCGCGGAGCAGCACTCCGGCCCGGGCGTCGGGAGCGCCTGCCCCGGCAGCGGCGGCACGCTGTACCGCGCGCACGGGGCCAGCTGGCTCAGCTGCGCGCCGCAGGTGCCGAGCGGCGGCTGCGCCTCCGCCGCGCCGCCCAGCGTGATGAGCAGCACCAGGACGAGGAGGGCCGCCAGGGCGCGCGGCTGCGGCAGCTGGGCCGTGGTCACCGCCATCGTCGTCGTAGTCGCCGGCTCGGTGCGCGCGCTGCTAGCTTGAGCGTTCTGTGTGCGTGTGGTTTGCGGCGCGGTGTGGTGGTGGTGCCGGAGGGCGTGATTTTATAGGCGCGGCGACGGAGGTGGGAGGGTGGGAGGCGGCGAGTCTTGCGTTGCTCACCTACGCTACGCACGCAGCGGTGCTCCGATCGGCGCCGGGCGGGAGGAGGAGCGGGGCACGGCAAGCGTGTGAGGCTGACCCAACCGAACGAGGGGCCGACAACCAGGCCTACCACGGCAGGAAGAGAGGAGGGAGCCGCCGCTAGCATGCACCGCAGCTATATCTCGCTTACAGCGACTTGTAAGATACGCTCGCCACAAGCTTTCTCCTCTGCGCTACAGTATTTGGGGCGACCTATTTTGTCAGTTCATTCGTTCGCTCGTTCGCTCTGGTTTTCTTCGGGTCTTTCTTCATTATTGGTTTTTTTGCTTTTCTTCAGTTCTCTTTGTTTCGTCACTGCTTTTCTTTGGTTTTCTGTCTTTCTTTGTTTTTCATCGGTTTTCTTCGTTCATTTTTCGGTTTTAAGTGATTTTTCTTGTATTTCTTCCCTTTTTATGAGGTTTTCTTGTTTTCTCTTCACTCTTCTTTGTTCTCCCCATTTTTCCTTCTTCCTTGATTTTCAACATATGTCTACATTTTTCTTACACATTGTACAATTCTTGTATATGTCAAGAATATTTTTAAATACATGTTTACCAACTTTTTTAAATAACCGTTTTTCTTTAAATACTTATTTTAATGTTCATTTATTTTTGTACACATTGTACATTTTCGTTATATGTCAAGATCGTTTCTTTAAAACACGTTTAAAATTTTTCAAATATTTGTTTTGATATCTATTTTTTTGTACACACAGTACATTTTTGGTATACATACATAACATTTTTTATAAACGTTAAAAAAATTCATATAGTATATCATTAACATTTTCCAAATATATGTTTTGATGTCTACTTTTTTACACATCGTACATTTTTCTTATATATACGAAACATTTTTTTATACATGTTTACCATTTGTATACATGTTTAAATTTTTTAGTACAAGTTATATATATTTCAAATACATAATTAGCATTTTTCTATGAAATAGTTTTTTCAAAGTCTACTTTTTAATACACATTGTACATTTTTCTTAATACACCGCAAAGATATTTTTGGAACAATAAATGTTTAATAAGTTTTAAATATATGTTTCCATGTCTATTTTTTTCGTACACATTGTACATTTTTTGTATGCATCTAAAACATTTTCTTGTATAGGTTTAATATTTTTATACATGATTAACGTTTTTCAAATATATGTTTTTATGTGTACTTTTTGTACGCATAATACTTCAAAACATTTTCTATACATCCAAAACATTTTTATACATGTTTAAATTATTTTATGCACGCTTAATATTTTAAAAATACATGACTAACATCTTTTCACATCATTCTTTTGATGTCCATTGTTTTCATACACATTGTATATTTTTGGTACAAATCTAAAACATTTTTTTACACTGGTTTATCATTTTTCAAACACATGATTAATATTTTTTTCAAATATATGTTTTGATGCCTACTCTTTTCGGACACATCATACATTTTCCTTATAAATACGGAAACAACAATTATACACGCTTAACATGTTTGTTGAATCACAGGAACATTTTGGTATATTGTATGAAAGTTTATTTTTAAAATTCCATGTACATATTTTTGAAACACGTAACATTTTTAAATATATTTTTAAGTTATCATCACTTTTTAAAAGTTATACTAACAAAATATTACACTGCATTAACATTTTTCAAAATCTCAATTTTATTTTTTGACGTAAATTAATGTTTGGAATATTTGTATTGAAACATATTCTAAATTATAAACAAAAGTGAAAAATAACAACACAGAATATGAAGAAAACATTAAAAAAGATTAACTTAAAAGTTAGGCTGGCGCAATACTTGCAGCTGAGTGGGCGCTCCTTCGGCGAGACCTTCCTCGCTCTCAATATATAAGCGAGGCATAGGTGCTCCCGCATGTTGGGAGCCGACCCGAGAAGAATGATACGTAAATTAATGCTCTCCATTTTTTCCCGTTCGCAGAATCGTGGTAGAATATGAAGAATGTTACAAGTTCACTGATCTCTCAAAAACAAGTAATTACTTCACACCTTTTGCCATTGTTGTTTAGCAATGAATATCCGGGACAACAAATGTTGTCAAGGAAGAACGTCAAACAAAATTCTTCTTCTCATTGCAAAAGTAAAAATAAAAATTAGATCTTATTCTTTAAATGTTTGCTTTAGAGAAAAGGCTCAAGGTGAGCTTGACTTTGAATTAATATTAGATTACAACCAACAACTTACAAAGACTAAAAACAGAAAAATAGTGAAAATACAAGTTGCTGAGAAACCAACTAGCAGGTGCTGGGGAACGCAGTAATTTCAAAAAAAAAATCCTACGCACATGCAAGATCTATCATGATGATGCATAGCAACAAGAAGGGAAGAATGTTGTCCACGTATCCTCGCAGACCGTAAGCGGAAGCGTTATGACAACGCGGTTGATGTAGTTGTACGTCTTCACGGTCCGACCGATCCTAACAACGAAAGTACGGCACCTCCGCGATCTGCACACGTTCGGCTCGGTGATGTCCCACGAACTCTCAATCCAGCTGAGTGTCAAGGGAGAGCCTTGTCAGCACGACAGCGTGATGACAGTGATGATGAAGCTACCGGCGCAGGGCTTCGCCTAATCACTACGACGATATGACCGATGTGGATTATAGTGGAGGGGGCATCGCACACGGCTAAGGGATCAATGATCAACTTGTGTGTTCTAGGGTGCCCCCTGCCCCTGTATATAAAGGAGTAAGGGTGGAGGCCGGCCGGCCCTTGGGGCGCGCCAAGGAGGGGAGGAGTCCTCCTAGTAGGAGTAGGACTCCCCCTTTCCTAGTCCAACTAGGAGGAATGGGGAAGGAAGGGGTGCGCGGCCCTGCCTTGGCCGGCCCTCTCTATCTCTCTCTCCACTAAGGCCCATGTGGCCCATTAGTATCCCGGGGGGAGGGGGGTTCCGGTAATCCTCCGGCACTTCGGTTTTCTCCGAAATCACCCGGAATACTTCCGGTGTCTGAATATAGCCGTTCAATATATCAATCTTTATGTCTCGACCATTTCGAGACTCCTCGTCATGTCTGTGATCACATCCGGGACTCCAAACTATCTTCGGTACATCAAAACATATAAACTCATAATACCGATCGTCACCGAACGTTAAGCATGCGGACCCTACGGGTTCGAGAACTATGTAGACATGACCGAGACACGTCTCCGGTCAATAACCAATAGCGGAACTTGGATGTTTATATTGGCTCCCACATATTCTACGAAGATCTTTATCGGTCAAACCGCATAACGATATACGTTGTTCCCTTTGTCATCGGTATGTTACTTGCCCGAGATTCGATCATCGGTATCTCAATACCTAGTTCAATCTCGTTACCGGCAAGTCTCTTTACTCGTTCCGTAATGCATCATCCCGTAACTAACTCATTAGTCACATTGCTTGCAAGGCTTATAGTGATGTGCATTACTGAGAGGGCCCAGAGATACCTCTCCCATACTTGGAGTGATAAATCCTAATCTCGATCTATGCCAACTCAACAAACACCATCGGAGACACATGTAGAGCATCTTTATAGTCACCCAATTACGTTGTGACATTTGATAGCACACTAAGTGTTCCTCTGGTATTCGGGAGTTGCATGATTTCATAGTCATAGGAACATGTATAAGTTATGAAGAAAGCAATAGCAACAAACTAAGCGATCATCGTGCTAAGCTAACAGATGGGTCAAGTCAATCACATCATTCTCTAATGATGTGATCCCGTTAATCAAATGACAACTCATGTCTATGGTTATAAAACATAACCATCATTGATTCAACGAGCTAGTCAAGTAGAGGCATACTAGTGACATTTTGTTTGTCTATGTATTCACACATGTACTAAGTTTTCGGTTAATATAATTCTAGCATGAATAATAAACATTTATCATGATATAAGAAAATATAAATAACAACTTTATTATTGCCTCTTGGGCATATTTCCTTCAGTATCCCACTTACACTAGAGTCAGTAATCTAGATTACATTGTAATGATTCTAACACCATGGAGTCTTGGTGCTGATCATGTTTTGCTCGTGAGAGAGGCTTAGTCAATGGGTCTGCAACATTCAGATCCGTATGTATCTTGCAAATCTCTATGTCTCCCTCCTTGACTTGATCGCGGATGGAATTGAAGCGTCTCTTGATGTGCTTGGTTCTCTTGTGAAATCTGGGTTCCTTTGCCAAGGAAATTGCACCAGTATTGTCACAAAAGATTTTCATTGGACCCGATGCACTAGGTATGCCAACTAGATCGGATATGAACTCCTTCATCCAGACTCCTTCATTTGCTGCTTCCGAAGCAGCTATGTACTCTGCTTCACATGTAGATCCCGCCATGACGCTCTGCTTGGAACTGCACCAACTGACAGCTCCACCATTTAATAAAAACACGTGTCCAGTTTGTGACATAGAGTCATCCGGATCGGTGTCAAAGCTTGCATCGACGTAACCGTTTAGGACAAGCTCTTTGTCACCTCCATATACGAGAAACATATCCTTAGTCCTTTTCAGGTATTTCAGGATGTTCTTGACCGCTGTCCAGTGATCCACTCCTGGATTACTTTGGTATCTCCCTGCTAAACTAATAGCAAGGCACACATCAAGTCTGGTACACAACATTGCATACATGATAGAACCTATGGCTGAATCATAGGGAATGACTTTCATTTTCTCTCTATCTTCTGCAGTGGTCGGACATTGAGTCTGACTCAACTTCACACCTTGTAAAACAGGCAAGAACCCTTTCTTTGCCTGATCCATTTTAAACTTCTTCAGAACCTTATCAAGATATGTGCTTTGTGA